AATCTTGGCCTCCAATATGACTACCACCATGACTGTACATGTCTCCACAACCACCATGACTATACATGGGTCCACCATCACCACGACTTGGCTGAACTTCTTGAGCTCCTCCTCTACCTCCATGACCTCCCCCTCTTGTTACTGCAATTGCAGGCCTATCTGATATGGTGGTGTTCTTCGTAGGTCCAATCGAGATCCTCCGGAGATGGGCAAACACCTCTTCAAGAGAGGGAAGGGCAAACTCACCTAGTATCTGTGCTCTCACCGGTTCATATTCAGACTTAAATCCTACTAAAAATCTAGTTATATCAAGTTGTTCTCTCTATTGTTGTTGAATTTTGACATCAGATGTAAGGGGATGATACACATTCAACTCATTCAGTAGATTTCTCATACTAGCAATAATACTCTTCAAGACTTTGATTACCCTGTTGCAGATTAAAATATTCTTGGTAAAGTTGGTATACTCTAGTAGTATTGTCTTGTCCAGAATAAAGCTTCTTTGCATGATCCCAAACCTCCTTGGCTATATCTAAGAACATAACGTTCACACTAATCTTAGGTTCCATACTATTCCATAACCATGTCATAATTTGTGCATCTTCTTGTTCCCTCCCACTCATCGGACCCCTAAGAATCAGTTGAGGGTTTATCTTCCTTCACATGCTTCACCTTCTTCTTAGCTTTCGGAAAAACTTCAACAGATTTAGCCCAAAGCACATAATTCTCACCATTCAGTTTGATAAGTGTCATCTGCACATTCAGATAATCAGAGGGAACTATTACACTAGACTTGTATTCACTGTTGTCTCCCATAGCTGCCAAAAAAAATTATATCACTAGTCTGTCACTCCACCTCACTAACTAGTCGCCACACTGTACACCAATGGCTATTTATTGCTAGAACACTTACTGTCACAGGTTTCAGCAACAACACTCACTGTTGTTCACCACTTTTAGCAACAACAACACTGCTGTCTTCCACTTTTAGCACCATAAACCACCCAAATACACCTCACATATATAGCACTAGGATCTGCAACACATCACATCTTATTTCTCACTATAATACCCATGCAACCTACCTATTTGAACCCCCACAAACCTGACTTGCACTCGTCAGTCCCTACACTACTGAAACCAGCCCTCTTTGAACCATCAAATAAAGGGGTTTTCTACCAACCACATGAAACAACCACAACACCACCCATTGGAGGCATGAAAACCTCTAGGAATAAAAAATGACCACTCCTTTTCAGCCCCTCTGTTAATCTCCAATCCACCGGTGAGAAATCTGCAAAAACCTAGGGTAATGGGCACTGAAAAAAAAATTGGGTTGATTTGAATTGATTATATCAGCTCTGATACCATGTTCATATTTGTGTAGCTTTTAGGCTCAAAATAATAAAGGAAAAGAAACAGAAGTGATAGAGTAGAAGGAAGAGAGGAGAAAAGAAGAGGAGAGAAGGAGAAGAAATAAGGTCTGATTCAAACTAGAGTAATTTCTCTCTAGTTGATCAGTTTTATCTATAGTTTTCTAAACCAAAAGCACAATGACTATTGTGCTCCCAAGTGTGGGACACATCACTTAGAATCTACTTGTAATTACATCAAGCATATAACATAATGTAAATTGACTATACTACCCCTCTACAGTCGGCTCAAACAGTTTCTAATTAGAGTTACAAAGACATTTATGTCCCTAATTAAGAATGGGACATAACACTTAAAACAAAACATAAAAGACATTACACTACACACTTAATATAAGATAAATGACCAAACTACCCCTTAACAGCCGACTCTAAAACTCCCCCTCGAGCTGGTGAATATATGTCATATAGTCCCAACTTGTTACACATGTAATCTATTTTTCCCTAATTCAACCTTTTGGTGAACAAATCTACCCATTGACTTCCTATGCTTACATATGCGGTACCTATTACTCCACTGAGCACCTGTTGTCTCACAAAGTGACAAGCAACTTCTATATGTTTTGTTCCCTCATTGAAAACTGAATTAGAAGAAATGTGGACTGCAGATTGGTTGTCACAATACAACTTCATAGGGTTATCAATTGAGTACCCCATTTCCTGTAAGAGGTTCTTCAACCATACTAGTTCACATATAGTGTGTGTCATGGTTATATATTCAGCTTTAGCTTTTCCTTTTGCCATCATAGTCTGCTTATTGTTCTTCCATGTCACCAAATTGCCACCAAGAAAGGCACAATATCCTATAATGGACCTTCTTCCAGATATTGAATTGGCCCAATCAGTATATGTGTAGCCTTCTATCTCAAGACTTTCTCCACTCTTGTTTAACAAGCCACGACCTGGAGCTCCCTTCAAGTACCACACAATCCTTAGAACTGCATCCCAATGTGTAACTTGAGGATTCTGCATAAACTAACTTACCACACTAACTGCAAATGATATGTTTGGCTGAGTAATGGTCAGATAATTTAACTTACCCACTAATCTCCGGTACCTTCCAAGATCTTGGAACTCCTCACCTACATCACTACTAAACTTGACATTTGGCTCCATGGATGTTTCAGCTGGTTTGGCACCCAATAAGCCTATCTCCTCTAACAAGTCAAGACCATACTTCCTTTGGCACAGATTAATACCATGCTTAGACCTTGCTACCTCTATCCCCAAGAAATATTTTAGTTTACCAAGATCCTTTATTTGGAGTGATTATGCAGAAAGGTCTTCAATCCATTGATCCCCATCCTGTCACTGCTAGCAATAACAATGTCATTACATAAACCACCAACAAAATCTTCCCAACATATAAGTCATAGCTAAATATTGGATGATCAACCTAACATTGTCTCATGCCAACTTCTTTCACCATTTCACTGAATCTATCAAACCATGCACGTGGAAACTGTTTAAGTCCATAATTGGCCTTCTTGAGTCTACACACCTTACCATCCTCCCCCTAAGCAATAAACCCTAGTGGTTGGTTCCATATAAACCTCCTCAAGAAGGTCACCATTTTAAAAGGCATTCTTGATGTCGAGTTGAAATAAGTGCCAATCATATATAGCAGCTAGGGTTATCAAATCATAGATGGAGCCAATCTTAGCAACAGGATAGAAGGTCTTTGTATAGTCAATGCCATATAATTGTGAGTAACCTTTTGCAACCAACTGAGCCTTCAATTGTTCTACACTACTATCTGGTAAGTACTTGATAGTGTATACCCACTTACAACCTACAACATGCTTGCTAGGAGGAAGAGTGGTGAAATCCCACGTGCAATTATGAGCTAGAGATGAAAATTCTTCTTCCATTGCTTGGCGGCACCCTAGAGAGGTAAGCGCTTCCTGGACATTTTTAGGAAAAGAAATAGAAGATAGTAGAGAGACAAATTGTTGATGGGAGGCAGAAAGGTGAGACACAGAAACATAATTAGAAATGGGATGAAGATTGCAATTGCGTTTACCCATTTGCAATGCAATGGGAAGGTCAAGGTCAAAAAGAGGGGGCGGGGCTGGTGCGGAAACACATTTTTGATCTATTGGCAAAGAAGAAATTGGAGGGGTCGGTACATGTCGATGCATATACACTTTTTTGATTGGTGGTCGTTCAATAGGAAGTTGCACTGGTGGTGAGGGCTTAGTCACAACTGGAACAAGAAAAGTGGGGTCCTCAACTAGAACAGGAAGTGGAGGTGGAGAAGAATGAGTGACATAAGACTCGGAGGAAAACAAAACAAACTCAATGAAAGTAACATCTGGACAAACAAAAGAACATCGGGAACTGGGATTATAACACTTATACCCTTTCTGGGTCCTAGAATATTGTGCATCTAATTTGTCCATCCCAGGCCCAAGATTATGAACAAAACACAAACATCTAAAAACCCTAGGAGAGAGGGAAATGAGACAAAGTGGGGAACAAAACAAAGAAGGGAGAATGACCTTTGAGGATAGACATGGGCATCCAATTAATAAGGAAGCGGATGTAAGCACATCACTCCAAAATGTTTGGGTACATTCATATTGTGCAAAAGGGACCAAGTAGTTTCTAAAAGATGGCAATTCTTTCTCTCAGCCACCCCATTTTGTCGAGGGTGTAAGTAGATGAAGTTTGATCGATAATGCCATGTTCAAAATATTGCTAAAATGGTGTATAGAAATATTTTGGCTATTATTAGAACGAAGAATTTTAATGTGTTTACCAAACTGAGTGTGAAATTCAGCATGAAATTGTTGGAAAATGGAAAACAATTCACTCTTTTCTTTCATAAGATAAAGCCATGTCATCCTTGAATAATCATCAACAAAAATTAGAAAATTCTTGTAATCATTGTATAATACTATTTTATTTGGACCGCAAATGTTCGAATGGATCAAAGAAAAAGGACACATGACGTACGACTATCAACCCTAGGACTAAAGGGAACACGATGGTATTTCTCATATCGACATGACTCACATTCCAAAGTAGAAAGATGACTCAACGATGGAACGAGTAACTTAAGTACCTTAAGTAGAAAGATGACTCACAAATAGAAGATGTGGAGCCATTAGCAAGAGTAATTGTGTGAGATGTAGAGGACTGAGAAAGAGAAAAAACACACTTGGAGTCCCAGTCATATGATTGGAAGCTCTAGAGTCGATAATCCAATGGGAGGGTTTGGATGCTAGACAAGGCAAGGGTAGCTGTGTTCTACTGTGAGGTAGCTTGGAGTAACTGGCTAACTGTTCATACTCATCACGTGGAACACTCATCATTTCTTTCCTGGAGGCATTTCTAGATGTAGGTGTCTGATCAACTTGCTGAATTTCATCTCTTTTACCACCACCACTAGTCACTGTATGATTGACCCAAGTTATGGTAGGATAAATAAATGCTTGTCAATGAAAATCTTTGTTATACATGAAGAGGTTCACCTACAACTGTTGACATTGACAAACACTTCTCTCTCAACATTGTTTTGTTGCCTAATAATATTTTCTATTTATTTTTTTTTGTGGTGTGAAGGACATTACGCCAAAAGTTTGAATCATATAATGATTTTGAGAAGGAGTCTGCATGGCATTTGTTTCGTCAAATTGTAGAAGGGTTGGCACACATTCATGCACAAGGAATTATTCATCGTGATCTGACACCAAACAATATATTTTTTGACGCGCGGAATGATATTAAAATTGGTGATTTTGGTCTTGGTAAGATCTACTTGTTCTTTTCTTCTTGTTTCTTATGTATTTTTCATTTTTTTATAATATTAGAATACCTTTATGCTAATGTTGTTAAATCCAGTTGTTAAGTGTCAGATTTTGACATTTGGAACTTTTCATATGATATGCATGGTGGTAATGAATAAATATCATGGCTGTATATTGATACTCAAGTAAATGCAAGATATCTTGCAGAAATCATTCCATCTTGGAATAGTTGTCACTTTTACTAAGGTGAATCTAGGTGGAAAGTAGTCTCCATGTTGCCTTTGACCAGGCAACCACCTGGGCATGACATAAATGATACATTTCCAAAAAAGTGAGGAAAGTTTGGTGTATTCCTATTTGAAGTAGTGATTGGGATGATAATTTTATGATTTTTTGGATCTCAAGATAGTAAAGAAGATTTTGATACTAGAGATGATCACCGAAAATGACCACTGGAGACCATAGTGAAGGTGATAAGGAAAATTTCCAAGTCAGGATGAATTGTAAGGGTCGTGCAATTCCTCTATGGGTCAGGACAGAGGTAGATACTACCATACTGGTCAGCTATAGGTGCAGTGAACCATAAATCAATGGTAGCTTCACAAGAAATGGAAAAAGTACGACAAGGTGACAGAGGAACTTCTCTTCTCTCTTCTTCTTTCTTCCTCCTCCCCGAGTACAACTTTCTCCATCATTTTCCTTATTAATCATCAAAGAAAAGCCTATGAGGACAGCTTTCTCCATCATTATTCTTTGTTTTTAGTATTATTTTTAGATATTTTCTTGCTGATATCAGTAAAATCAATTAAAGATTTGGTTCTTTTTTGATATTCCATATACATTCTGGAAATAATTATATGACAATGGGATCTGATGTGTATGAGGTTGATGTATGTTTTCTCATTATGACCTAGTTTCATTTTAGTTGCCTGTTCATGTCCTTTTTAATTGTAAGCAGGCTGGATTTACCATAATTAATTTATTCTTTTGATAGTAAAAGGGGAATGTCCATTACTCGGTACAATCATAAAATCTCAGGCTGAGAGGCCTGATAATGCTGCTTTGAGTCTGGGAGCAGCCACTTTGTGGAAAATGATGGTTCTAGGTTTGTATCCAGGCCACCCATCTCTAGACCTCTGCTATCTGTGGACCAGTTTTGTGTAATGGATAGTAAATGGGGAGGACAAGGAGAAATCCAGTAGAAGTGTTTGACATTCTAAAAGGAAAAAATACCTTTCAAACTATTTATCAAAAAAAAAAAAACCTTTGAAAAGATCTTGATGACAAACATAAGAATGCTGGTTTGAGTCTAAAATTCACCACTTAGTGAAAAATGGGATGGTGGTTTGGTCTGTATCCAATCCATTCTAAAGTTCCCTGCTATCTGTTTACCAGTTTTGGGTAATGTATGGTAAAAGGTGAGGACATGGTGAAAACCAGTACAAGCGTTTAACTTATTAAAAGGTAAAGAAATTTAATAATGACAGTTACCTTGACGTATTCTTGGTAGTTTTATTGGTTCCTCCCCTTTGGGATCCCCATTATGTTGTAGTCTTCCATATCACTGCTCCTTTCATGTTGAATGTGGTTGAGGGCCACGATTGCATTATCTGGTGAATTTGGCCAGGAACTCCAATCCACTGGACCATAAAGAGAAAAATCCCCATATTATCTTTGACAGTTTGCATTGTATGGTTAATAACCACTTTCGTTTCTAAGCTCAATAGCAGAACTCTAAATTGAAAATTAAAAAAGAACTGAGAAAAGCCATTCCATTAACTTGTATTTGGAGACATGAAACTTAATTGTGTATCAACTTAGCCTACTATGCATGTATAACTAAAGTTGACTAAAACTTTTATAATCTGGACACTTTGCCCTTTTTGATAAAAAGATCTGGACACTTGGGCACTTTGTACAAGCTTGTTGGTTAATGTGTGGCGGTTTGGGTAAGCTTGGTAATTCTGAATCAATGTTATGCCTGAGTGAGGTTTTCGTTCTTATCTTTTTTAGGTTGATCAATTTTCTTGGGTTTACCTACTAAGAGATGTTTCTAACAATATATCAAATGTACAACTTATTCCTTCCAGCCAAATTCTTGAAGATGGAACAAGTGGACTATGATCCTCATTTTCCCCCAGACACAACTGGAATTTCAATCGATGGAACTGGTCAAGTTGGTACATATTTTTACACTGCTCCTGAAATTGAGCAAGGGTGGCCAAAGATTGACGAAAAGGTTATGATTTGTGTGGCTTATTTGAAATATAAATACTTGTTTTGCCTCTAGAAGATTTTTCTGTGATCAATTTTATGTATCTATGCTAATTGATATGCTTTTTAATTTTTATCCATTATATTGGCCTTTTCTTTCCTTTTTTTGAATGGTTAGAAATGCCACGAAAAACCTGAGAGATACTTGTTTACAGGTTGACATGTATAGCTTGGGTGTTGTATTCTTTGAGCTGTGGCACCCTTTTGGGACAGCAATGGAAAGACATATTGTTCTGTCAGAACTAAAACAAAAAGGAGAACTTCCTCCGGATTGGGTGGTTGAATTTCCAGAGCAGGCATCCTTATTGAGATGCTTAATGTCTCCAAGTCCTTCTGATCGTCCTTCTGCAACAGAACTTTTACAGAAAGCTTTGCCTCCAAGGATGGAATATGAGTGGTTAAATGGTAATATTTTTTTTGTAAATGTTTTAATTATTTTCAGATTCTTTGGAATGACATGCATTCAGTCATCCTAACAGGTAAAAGTAGAAAATTTACATATGTCAATAAAAAGAAAATTTCTAAGTCAGGGAGGGATAAGTGGTATAAGGAGGTGCACAAAAAGGTAGAGAAACCAACAGTCCTTGGTGAAAATTTCTTAGAAAATTTCAGATCCTCATGGTTTATATTAGCATCTGAACAGTCCTTGGTGAAATAACATACTATTGGTTCCATAAAAAATGTAGTGAAACCAACAGTTGTTGAAACTTCATTATTTCTTTCCATAGACACATCCTGTAAGGAGGTGCACAATCTTCTTGCCTGAAATTTGATGGACTCTAGTATTGATAGGGGAAGAGCAATGGGAGACTAAAAAAGTGCAGGGTATATTCTGAGAAAAGCCTAAAAGCCAGCAGAAAACTTAATAGAGATAGATATCAACACGTTTCCTGTGCTTTTGTGCATGCACATAATACCACTCTATAAGATTTGGCATTGCCAAAATTGGTCTCAATAATGAGACTAATCCTCACTTGGCTAAGCATCTTTTTTGTGCAGATATTTTACAAAGAATGCAGACATCTGAGGATACACGTGTTTATGATATGGTTGTTAATGCTATTTTTAATGAGGAGAGGATAATCATGAAAACCCAGCGTCAACATGGTGGGAGAGTAAAGTTGGCCAGGGACCAATCTTCTTTTATCCAATATACAGCGATAAACACAGAACTTCGTGACCATGTCAATGAAGTTGCAAAGGAAGTTTTCAGGCAGCATTGTGCAAAGCGGTTGGAGATAACACCAATGTGTATTGTTGATGACTACCAGCAATTTTATAGGTTTTTCAATATTTCATATACTTCCATCATTATACTATTCATGTCTATGTACCAGTAACAATTGCTCAATTGCATGGTTTAAGATGTCTAATTGGTTTTGTTTTTTCCATGCTGAGAAGAGATGCTGTCAAACTTTTAACTCCTGGAGGAGATACTCTTGCACTTTGTCATGAATTGCGCTTACCCTTTGTAAATTGGGTTATAGAAAATCAGGTACTCATTTGGAATTCTGCTCAGAGCAATTGAAACCTTGTTTTCATCTGAACATATGCATAACAGATCAATTTGAACTGAATGTGAAGCCAAACACAACCTGCATATAGAGAAAAAGAAGAAAGCTTTGAAATTCCTGTCCAACCCATTATATAGATTATTCTTTACTGTGGTGATTCGTGGGGATTGGGAGAGAGAGAGAGAGAGAGAGAGAGAG